TAATTTTATAAATAACTTCTATTTCTGTATCCTCTTTGGTGACGCCTACTAAATAAGGAAACGTTTGAACAGCGGTGCCGCCGACTTTGATTAAATATAAGATAAAGCAATTCAGATTTATTCGAATGAGAAATTGGGTAGCCAAGTAGTCAACACTTTTGTTGACACGACTTTTTTGGTAATTCAAAAAATCTTAACATGAACATGTACATCTTACCTACTAGTACATCTACCTCAGGAAGATATAAACTCTCATGCCTATGATAGTTAAAGGTTTTAATAGACTTCATAACAAAAAGAAGAGGTTCTCGATCCATCTGTATTATGTTATTTATGTATTTCATGATGTATGTTATCGGCAGGAGCGTGGACTGTAAGGAGAAATTAACAACAAAAAATTACTTTTACGTAACACAAAACACAGAATAGAGAGACAGATTGTAATAAGTTAAACGTTACATAAGTCAAATTCAAATTAAAAATATAAAAAATACTTATCAAAAGAAGCTGCCAAAGCAGTCTTCATCAATGTACTACTTCTTTTATTTAAGAATATATACTTCCAAAATGGTAAAAATATAATCAAAATTTAATCAAAATCAGTTCAGAACATAGATTTTATTTTTTCATTTAAGTCAATGTGTAGGTATGTAATGTATTTAAGTAATTTGAAGTTAAGTAAAAAAAAATAAGGTAAACCGAGTATATTGATGAATTCCTTTAAAGGAGATATGATAACAAAGGTTCATTATCTCCTCTCCGCCTCTCCATACAAAAGATATGTTCAAGGGGCCTTGTAAACTTCCCTAATAGCGATAGTCAAAGTCAAAATAATCTTTATTCAAATAGACTTCTTAAAAGTACTTTTGAATCGTCCAACATTTTTTCCCTACCACTCGTTCAGGACGTCTTTTGGCTGATAAGAAGAACGAGCAAGAAACTCACCAGCTCTAATAAGAGTAATGACATTTAGTAGCACTTGGTAGCACTTAAATTGTAAAAGGTTTAACAGCTGAATCACGTTGATACCAGTCAAGCCTGGTCCTGAGAATGTAGATTTTTCCAATTATTTTTCATATACAAGATGTGGGCGTAAGTAATGAATAACCTTGTATTCTCGGATTAAGGACCCTAAGCCCTGTCATAAAAAATACAAACTCCCTGACTCAACTAGTGTTTGTATATAATATTTTTCTAATTTTACGACACTTTTAATGCAATAGTTATATAAAATAAGCATTTTTAATTCTTTTTACCAATATTTTTTTTCCAAATAAGTTATGGAATTCTCACTTCTAATTTAAAAAGTACATTAGTGACACAAGTTTTAAAAGCTCAAACATTGATCAATAGACATTAAAAAACGAAATATTCAATTTAAAAAATAATTTAAAATTAAATTGACTTGCTTTCGAGTAATTATATTATTTACATAATAAACAAATTATTGGTGATCAATAATCAAGATGTAAGCTGAAAAAATCTCTTTTTTAATGAATGATGGCCAAAAAATCGAAAAAGAAGCAATTTGTTTAAAAATTTGAATAAAAGTTCTAACACAGGTACTAGTTAGTCAAGGAGTTTGTTTTTAATGACGTGGCTTAGGATTCTCTATCCGAGAATACAATGTTATCCATTACCTACGCCTAAGGTTGACAACCGTACTCTAAAATAGAGTATTGTCCTCTATATCATGTAGGCGTACTCTATAATCTATAACACTAATAGAGTACGCTAAAAAACTCTTTTTTACACAATGTTTATTTAACTAGTCCCAGTCTGTAATAATATGCAAAAACCTATAATCAAAATAAAAAAAACTCTACTATTTACTGTTAATATGTTGGTATCGCCGATTTCACAAACCATATTCGAACGTTCCTGAACGCAGCCACTAATGTTAAGCATTTACTGGAAGAGTCTTTTCGGTTATGAATGTGAAGTGGCAAGAAGAGAGAAACAGAGCTTCATTGAAATTGATCAAAAATGAGCTAATGATATATATAAATTTAGAGTTGGTATGTTTGGACTCATACAATTTCTTCAAACAGTGAAACATTGTTATGTGCTGCAAAAAGTACAAAAAAAAAATACCTTTTTAAAAGTACAAAATAAATGATACTCTTTTTTGTAAGTCCGTACTCTTTATTTACCTCCTTTAAAAACAAATATACTCTATTTCTTCTAAAAAAAAGTTGACAATCCTACCTACGCCACCACTACGCCAAGTTAAATGTAAAATTTATTTATATCTTATAGGTACATTCGTGTTTTGCTCTAAATACAACAACTTTTAAACGGGCTACACTGCATGTAATTCTTATATACACTTTTTATACTTTTTGAACGTATCTGATCGTATAGAATCAGAAAAAAAAGAATAAAATCAATCCGTCGAAAAGTTCGATTTACAATTTTTCGATAGTAGAACTACATTGTTATTTTTGCTAACATTAAATAATTGATAACAAATCTAAACATAAGTCAAATTCAAATCGTATAAACTACGCAGCGTGCCAACATGTCTACATACTTATATGAAAAACATTACCCTTCTTCGGTAATCAGGTAAAAACATGTGCTCAATCAATTTGAATGCAAACACCAATAAATTTATTGCGCACGCACACACTTTACACTAAGTGGGTGTAAACGTTAACTGGAACGTTACCTCAAATCTCTTGTACACACGAATTTGCAGCATTTTCGCTTGAAATAACATTACTAATTTTATCTCGGTGCGGCTAATGGTTCATCGTGTTATATGATCCCGCCTTGTAACCATTCCTTTGAAATCCCGCAAAGTTAGCAGCAACACAAATGTGTTACTATTTCTATATAGTCGGGAACAACATTAATGTAAAGCAATTTTGGATTTCTAATATAACAACATTACGTATAAATAGTGTTAAGCATACAGCCAAAAATAATGCTAGTCTTTTATTTTTTTTTCTATTAACAAAAATAATATGCACCATTCATAAAATAAATTTTGTTCATAAGCATATGAGAATCGTAATTCTCATTGATAAAGTAACTTAATTACTTAATATCATAGTAAATATATAAAATGTTACGAAACCGCAAGATAGCTCGTATCGTAGATATACGTTAATAATATTTGCTAGACTTGGATTTTAATACGAATAATTTTTCATTATTCATTGATTAGAATTAATAATAGGGAATATAACATATATATCCAAATACCTACGTACTACATTTATTAAAGAACAATGATCCGAGGTAAGAACCTTGCTATACACATGGTGATATTGATGGAACATATTGAATTTATTTTAAAATAAAATAGGTATATTACCGTTACCGTTTTATATTACCGTTTTAAATGTATTTGTGAGCTAAAAATATATATTTTTATCGATGATTGTCCTATTATAGAAGTAATACATACTAATAGCTAGAAGTAGGTACAGTATCAAACAAAAAAAAGAAACCATTAGGTCAATGTTTATCATTAAATTAAGAACTATTACATCCAAATCCAGAAATCACAATGACATTAATTTATCATAGTACGATAAATAAACAAAACTGTCTAATTGTCTTGGAAGACAATGAATTAGTACTTCCGCTGTTCTCAGTGATTTGAAGTCAAGGTTAAAAAGTGACAGTGACATTTTAAACTAGGGTGACGAAACGACACTCAACTAACCTTATACTAGTCGCACAGATTTGTTTCTTTTCTTCTAACCGAAAAAGACAAACTCGTTATGAATTCAGAATAAAAGTTTGACGTTTAATTGAAATAGTTTCAGTATACCTATAATCTACATCATTGTAAAATTGCTTATTACCTATACATAATTCTCATTTAATCAGTTAAGTATATTAATGAAACAACTAGTTATATATTGATAACTGAGAGAAGAATATATCAACACCCAAAAGAGCACGGCATAAACGAAAAATAAATAAAAATGTGTCACTAAATTCACACCTAAAATATAAAGAAATATAATACAATGTATTGACATTGATAGTCATAAAGGGCAACAAAATAAGTAGCACGCGTTTCTTTACTAACCAAACTTAATTTACTCCTAGAACAGACGTACAATTTTTTTCTTTAACTATCAAAGCGAGATTAAAACTAAGCGAACAACTACCTCCGCATTTTTTAGATCATCGCTCGTACAAAATAAATTAGCACAAAAACTTAATCGTATTTATAAATACTAAAGACCTAGGTGATATTATTTGATCTGAGACCAAAGGGCGTTTCTAACGCAGTGTTAACATAATTAAGTTTATATTGTCTGGTCCATTTGGTATGCTTAAAGGAACTTTAGATAGACTTGAGTATGAGAGTATGAACTCCTTTACCATCTCAAGTTATATATAGAGTAATAATATAATGTTCGTTTGAAAGTTAATATATGTTAAGAAAGATAATTTTATATATAATCCTCTAAAGTTAAAAATATGACCAATTCCAAGAAGGAATTGCGCTGATAAAATAAAAACTAATATGTCAGGCGATAAAAACTTCTAAAAATCAAACATTTATTTAAAGGAATAAGATTTAAAGTACATCAAGATATAACATACTCGATAATCTACATCAATATTTGAAAAAACAATTTTCTGCGTATTCTAATACGGTATAAATTTGAGGTACCTACGCTTACATTTTATCTCCATCGATTCGTGATGGCTTTCGAAGAATTTTTATTGCGATCCTTTTTTTATTTCATAATTGGTATATTAAGGCTAAGATGTTAAATTCTAATGAAAAACTATGCTTAGCAGTTCTATTGTATATTTACGTGATAATTACTCTGAAACCTTCGAAGTAATTGCTTAAATAGTTCAATCCGTTTGAGCTCTTCGTTCATTTACAACGATTAAAATTTATAGCTGCACTCAATTTTAAAGCGTTTCAGTTCGAGATCCCAAACGTTAAAACGTTGTAAAACATCCTTCTCGTCGTCTGTATTAATTAAATACTCAAAATAAACAATCCTTTTCGGACTTACCTCTCCAAGGTTGATGAATCCGTGGTCCCTGGCGACCGCATCCGCCGCTTCTTGCCCCGCAGGCACGTGTACAGCCCATGTCGGCGTGTAATGCCCCCGTACAGCCTCCAGCAACGACAACGCCAATAAGGCCGACGACACCACAGTGACACACCGAGCCATCGCACACACAATCAACTGCTAGTACTGGTCAGCATTGCACACACACTGAACAATGTTAATGAGTTATTAACTTTTTAATCGACGGCGATGCTGATCATGCGGCTATTGCATTTCTATCAGAATAACCAGTGGACTGTGAAATTTTGTAATGGATTAAAGAGGAAAATGGACTGGAGTTATTTACTCCAGTTACATTCTCCTAACGACACAATTTTGAAAGAGAAACAAAATGTCATCATACCCTAGTGCATTGTGTGGAATTAGATTTGTCATGGGCAAGTGGACATGTAGGTAAATTTATTTATGAATGATAAATTTTGTATAACATTAATTCCAAACGCGCTAGTTTGAAACATTTTTGAGTAGGATCTTATTTTAGGTATGAAATTTGTATCCTAACCAAATTAGGGGGGCTAATAAGGATACCATTAGAAGTTTGTTTTCACGTTAACAGACAAGTAATCTGCCAAGGCCTTAGAGGCATTCAAGTATTCAATTATTAATTAATTGATTTCTCCAAATCGGAACTGCTACTGCAATTCGAAATGTAGGTCAAGAATACAACAAAGGATGAAATTCGAGCTCTTTTGGGTAAGTTTGTTACATGACAGTGTATTAGCATTTCACCAGACCATCATTAATCACTTTGACCCCGGCAATATTTGCGAAAATCTACTTCAAAAGTATTCATTATAAAACAGTTATTCATCAAGTTTTTATTTAAAAATATTCAATCCAACACTCACTTGCCCCACGATATTTAAAATGAATAACTTTTCTGTTTTTTCACGATGAAGAAATCAAATCATTTACTAAACCTTATTTTTTCAAACATCACCTAATATAAAAATTAAATGAAATTAGTCGCGGCACTTACATTATAATATTATACAATAAAGTAACATGAAGTTAAATAAATGCTACAACGTTCTAGATTACCCAAACAACTTTTGCTGTGAACAATAAGAATTTTTAAGGAGGATCCTTAATATAAAACCGTGACAAGCGAAAAAGCCACCGATATTTTGAAGCACAACCTACGTAAAGGATTATAATTTATTTAGCTCATACTTTCTTCACCTAAATGTCGAATATGAGTGAGTTACTGGTGTTCAGTCCTGTATTCAGTCTTTTAATTGTAGAGCAAATGAACATTAAAAAAACTAGCAAAAAAGAATTCTAGAATATACCCACGAATAGCATATACCCACATTGTAGCGTTCTATAGAAACCTATAGGTTCAAAATATATAGCCAACATGCCTACAGTTTCACGTTATAAAGGAAGTATGTGAAATTCTACATCGTTCTTATTAATGACTAATGAATCTCAGACTAATAAGTCGCAATTATTTGTGCTGAGCGCTATTTTAGTTAGTTGTTCTATTTAATAGATGTCCAGTGATGGTAGTTTATTCGATAAATCTCGTGATATCCTTTATGTTTCTGAATATTACATCAAAGGTATCTCGAAAACTGAATTATTAAAACTTCTTACGTCTGTTATGAATCTTATTATTCACAGCGTTAGCTTAGCGTAAGCTTAACTATTTAGAAATCCTTTACAAGCACTTTTTTGCAAGCGGGTCATTACCAATTCTTCATTGGTATTTGCAGATAAATAAATTATTCAAACAAAATGAAAGTTATGACATCTTTTTTCACTCAAATTGGTACATTTTTATATTTGATTCGGTGAATCGGTGCATACTGGTATACGCAGTACTTATTTATTTAGTATTTTTCCATTGGAGTTGTACAGAGGGCATCCAAATCATGTATACTACATCGTAAATTAAGGAAGTATAAATACTTCTTCTATTTAAACTAGAGTTTCGAATAAAGTATGTCTAGTTATATTACAACATTAGGTACAATTTCCAACATCAAGAAAAATTTGATATTGGAAATTATACCTAATTAATACCTAAATGATATAGGAAATTGTAAAAAAAAAAATTCGAGATTTAAGTATATATTTTACTATCACGATCGCACAATCTCTTATGCTTGCATGTGTCAAGAGATTTCAATTAAAGAAATTTGCTCAAAATTATCGAACATTAAAATGGGTGGGTAGGATATTATTTTACCTTATGACGTAATAGGCAAATTGAATTATTGATGGGTTTCATTATTTGAATTTGTACCTATTATATAACTTAATACGAACCTATTCAATTACGTATTTTCTGGACTAAAATAGGTATTTTACCTATATGATAATGCTTATAGGCACTTTTGGATTAAATATTTTTTGGTATTATTTTATGTGATATTAAATTAACATACCTATAATACAAGCTTTTCACGAAACGTTATGTGGATCTAAATAGTATATTGATATTTTCGTAATATAGTAAAAGTGCTAAGAATATGTTTAAATTAAATATTTAATTATATCTAAATGCCTATGTAATGCCATCTTTTTAATAAACGTATTACAATAACTTTAATTATCATAATGGCATCACTTGCACTACCCCAGTATATTTTTGATCTTTTTAATTTTTAAAAAATAATGTTCTGATGTGCTTACATTTAATTAGCCAGTTTTAACTTGTTTTACATCTCCAAAGACTGTGCTTGATCCGTTCGTAATTATCCTCATAATAAGTATAAGCAGGTTCCCATTTCCTAGTATCGGTTTTCTCAAACCTACGAGATTAATCAGTACAGCTAAGTACAAACCAATTAATTATTATAAGAATTTAATAACACCCCTTAATAATTAAAATAATCATCATCTTTAGTGATCAACTCGACATTTAATGATGTCACATTTGTTATTTTAAGTATCGTAAACAGAGTTTGTTTATTGTACGGAGAATTACTAACTATACTATGTCAATATACAAAACGTTTCTTAGATAACGAGCGACATTTATGAGTCAAATAATTTTTACTTTATTTCAAACTAATAAATTAGTTAGTTAATTAAAATCAGTTATTAAAATAATTAATAAATAAGAGTAAATACTTAACTAAATGACCTAGAAATAGACACTTATCCAGTTTTTAAATAAGCTTCGTTCGTTTAGTTATTGTAAATTATTTTTTAAATAAAACTTGATAAAAATGAAGTGTAGTTAAGTAGGACATGCACAATTAGATATACGGTAACCTGCAGAAGCATTTACAGTTAAGTGTGTGCGAAAATTGCATTCGTGTCATTCATTACAGTGACTGAAATCACCCAAATATAGACACTTAAAAACAAGACAATGCACTAGGAAAAACGAGGTTTTATCTTATCTCTCTCCCTTTCGATAGCTATGTAAACATTTTGTTATTGTGTCGATTCGTAGACGTATTTGTATTTCGCGTGCGGCACACATCGATAGACGGATGTTTCATCGATGGAATCCGATGGGAAGGACCAAGATTCCGCTGCACTGAGACAATAGTGGCCGGCGAGGTTGGTTGGTGAGAGTCGGCGCCGCTACGACGATCGTTCACCTTTCGTACGGCTGTTATTATATTGCAGATTTGTAATAAATTCAACTGAATATGTTAATATTACACGAATGATCAGCAACGAACACTTAGTTACACTGTGATGTTGAGAGTCATTATTTACCACGGTACAAGTGTCAAGCGACGCGTGAATAACGCGACGAACCGGCACAGTACACACCCGTCACGTCCGCGCACGTGATGCTGACTGGCTCGTTCGTTTCTACTTTGCTTGTTCTCGTCGGCCATCGCGATTGGAGCACGAGTCGCACACGAGACAGAGGCCGTGTTGCCTACGCATATCAATTTTCCTTGTTTTGGGGAGTTTTAGCTCTATTTCTTTAACACCCAGTATTATTACGCTGCTTTTCTAACTTGCTTGGTTATTTTTATCACTGCACATAAGGTCAGTCGACATCTATATTAATTTAAACGTTGTCTATGATAGATGATACTATGTACGAGTATTTTATGTTTATGAACTTGTCTGAAAGAGGAAAGGTTTGATTTTGTTTGTTTGCATCGAATAGCATCTGAAACTCTACAAGCCCTATTTTAAAGATTCTTTCACCTACGGGTAGCTGCATCATACGGATTATACGCTTGCAAAGTCGCCGGACAATAGAGAATATTAAATAATCATAAGAATCTTTCCAATTAAAACTTTTGTATATGCCATTAGCCTATATCATTGGCCTCTATAATTACTTTTTACACTATGTTCGCCGACTGCACATAAAATATCCGTTTTTGTGATTTTTTACGGCATACGATATAAAATAGCTTTATAATGCAGCGGTTTTTTTTTAGAACTTTTGAAGAGGATCAACTTTATATGTGATTTTTGCGTAACTTTCTCCGTAACGCACGTAAGGAAAGCTCTAAAAAAGTAAAATATTCTCACGTTTATACAAAATTTTTATTGCCGTTCCACTCCTATACTTTTTGGTACGTGTAACCTAACTCAATCGATTTATCACCCCTGCTTAATAAATTTCATGAAAATTGTTGGAGCCTTTTCCGAGATTCAGATTATAATACAGGAATTGCTAGTTTAAAGGTATTAGATAAAAAAATATGATTGCGTCAAACAATTCATAACATTTTATTGAAAATACCCGTGAAAATAAATGTTTATTTCATAATTCTATTATTTTTTCCAATTTTTTTTGAATTGTAGTGATTATTTGCAAACAATAAACACACCAAGATTCCGCTATTTCCGCAGGACAATTTTCGTGAGCCTTTATTTTCTTCCGTGAAGTAAACGTATAATTTCTGTGTTTTGAGATGTTTAGTAAAGCATTTTCACTTTTTTATCCAAAAACAAAACTATTAATCCGATTTCGATTAATTATTATGGAACCATTTTGGGCCTATATGCTTTAGAATGGAACAATAATAAATTCGGTCTTAAATTAGCAGAAATCGGTGGTATAATACATAAAAATACGTACCGCATGTATTACTAGCTTCGCCCGCATCTAATTCGGTTATATCGCTATAAAAATTGTTCTAAGTTCTATCTGTGTACCAAATTTTATT